CCATCGGAAACAGTATGTAACCCGTCAGAGTCGTTGGAGATACCCCGTGAGTATCATCGGAGGTACCCCGAGAATTTTACAGAGGAACAAGCCCCAACCTCTCCTTCCGTGTTTAGTTTGGATCGAGCTCCATGTGCGGCCTGTCGTTTTCTACGGCTGTGCGTGAAGCACCAACAGCTTCCCCACATGTATGTATCCGTACTTAGAAAACGAAACAGGCGGTCACGGTCCTCGCACCGATGCCCCGCCGACTTGGGGGGTACGCCTGGAAGTGCGTGGAGTGCACTGTATACTGCTGGTGTCGATTCTGGGGTCATGTTCGTAGTCGGACGTGATACTCATGTGCTATATATTTTCTCCCAACATGTCCCCCGATGCTTCGAGTCTCTGAATGTACCATCGAGTTGTAAGTATCAAGTGTCGACACGCTGAGACACGTTGGCGTATTTTCTTATTTTTTTTCAGACATGGGGGAGCCGCTGGACACGAACAAGGAGCTCAACACCGTGGGATGGTCCAACATCCTCAGCGGTCTCACGGGAGGATTTACCGGAAGGTGAGGCACGGGCCGACGGCAGTTACGTGATCGTGTCAACCTTTCTCGTGCATCATCGTCATTGTTGTTTTGGGGTTTGTTTGTGGTGTTCTTGGTCCTCTTGCTGCTGCTGCTGTTTTTGTTTCAACATGAATTGAGCTGTTCAGAGTTTGCTTTACGACTACGTCCGTGCCGTCGTCGATTTTGCCCTCGACCTCGTTGCCGACGCACGCAGCTCCTTTTTGTCTTTCAGTCTGCCTATTGCGTGCGAGTGACGATTGTTCCTAATGCCCCGCCCCCTTCCTTGCCTTCTCTCGTAGTGGCTGCCTGCAAGTTTGTACTAAACCAACAACGCCTATCTCCGTTTGTGGCTTGTCCGCGTTCGACAATGTGATGAACTGGGTTGCTTTAAGCGGTGCATGACGAGGAACCCCCCCTTCAATAGTACACACCCACCGACCACAGCCATCTTGATAGCAAACAGACCTCTCCGACCACAGCCATGTTTGATCGAAAGCAGACCTCTCCCACCCTCAAAGTAGGATACACTCTCACCCCCCTCTCCTCCACCCCAACTCGAGCCATTTATCATTCCTTCACCGTGCGCGCGCGCTTGCTGCAGCTACATCTTCTCGCAGACGTTGTTTACGAGGAGGACGGGTTGCCAATCTCGCCTGATAGGGTGGTTTGTGGCCGTCTCCGAGCTGGCGATGTGCATGGTGACCATCGACCCCATGGCCTACGTGCCGCTGCTCTTCTTCGCGGCGACGCTGTCTTTCATCGGTGAGATTGTAATGATCGTTTCCTCGTTGTCACGTGTCTTCCGGGGTCTTGGGCATGTGTGCGTCGACGGGTTGTTACTAGGATGATGATTTCCCAACCGACTGCTGTGTTTGCTTTTCGCCGGTTCTGACGCGCTAGGAGAAAAGAAAATACGCTTGTAGTGTAGGAGGTCCAGGGTCTTTGCCAAGTACAGCGTAAGGAGGTCATCACGGGTTCACGTAGTGCAAGCTTCAAATGGCTTTGTGTTATTGTTCATCGAGAAAATAATGAATGAGCGGGTAGGACGGCCCGACGCAAGGCAGTTGGTCGATGATGTTCTTTTGGACTATTTAGTGCGGGTATGCAATTCTCATTGCATCATTCGAAGGATCTCTGTGACAAAAAATCATTTTGCTTCGTTCCCTAAAATACTTTCTCTCAACCTGTTCGGTGGCTTGATTATTATGCATTTTTGTTTTCATAGTTTTTTATTGACTCACATCCTTGTTTCTGTGATGCCGATGGTAACGATGCCGACGCATGATACTGTGTGGCGTGATCGTGGCGGCGATGACGGCAGCTGTCGAGCTTTCTGTGGAATGGCTCTGGGATGTCCGAGAGAAATTGCTCGCCTACGAGTACTTGGTGCTCCTCGCGACGGTGAGCTAGATTTGCAACACGGAAGTACCGTTGTCTTTGGTACAGACCTACCGTGGTTTCTGGTACTTCTGCCGTACTCGTGTATTTGCTTGCTCTTACTATGTATATTATAGTTTTTGGGCTCAACGGTTTACAATGGTGCTTGGGTTGATTGTATGCGTTGGTGTTCAGTTTGATATTTCAGTGAAATAGTCGCCTTGATTATGACGTTGGCGCTGGTGATGCGTGTTATTTTCATATTGACAGTATTCGCTGTAGATGGTGGAAAAGATGTCTCTTTGTTACCGCTGATGGAATATATTTCCACGACAGAGTAGGCAATACACGTGACGTTGATTAGAACGCATTGGGGAACTTATTATGAACGTTTGGACTGGTGTCGCGGTCCAATAGTTGATGTTGCTGGTATTAGGACAGGTGCTCCTTTGAAGTGCACGGCGCGCTAGCCGGCCATGCCCCGAATCCACAAGATGCTTGACATTAATTAACGATCTACGACTCGGTGACGCCGATAGGACGCAGTGGCGGTTGAACACGCATAACATTTGTTGCCTGTGGCGTTTGGGCATCGCTTCGACATGTAACCCCTGATACCTACACCTTTGTTTTCCCCTTGCCTGGCTGCGCGCTTGGGACAGTTCGTCGCTATCCAGGTGGTGGGGCTCAACCAAGGGCTAGTCGCCGGAGTTGCGTTCTCCACGGCCATCTTCGTCATCAGCTACGCCTCGGAGAGAAAGTGAGGCGGTCAACATCCGTCCAGGGGATCTGCCCAGTGGTTGCATGTTACCTCTCGTGGTGTTTTTTTTTCTGTATTGTTATGCAGGAGAAGCGCTTGTCGAATGAACAACTTGACCATAAGAACAGGTGCTAGGCAAAGACGCCCACACTATAACCTATACAGTCGATTGTGGCGTAGCCTCACTACGGAGTTGTATCGGGTAAGTGGGGGGCGCGTTCTGCACCGACTGCTTGTTGTGCGTGGCAGGAACACTCTGGAGAGGGTCCACAAGCGGGGCCGCTTCATGAGGCCGGCCTCCCAACGCCGCCTCCTGCAGGTGCATCGAGACAAGATCCTGTGCGTGGAGCTCAGGGGGGAGCTCTTCTTNGGGGGGGGGGGGGGGGGGGGGGGGGGGGCGTACTCTTATGTTTTGCAAGCGTTAGCGGCTAGACCATTGACCACGGGTTCTCGAGAGGACGGTGAACTGTTCGCCTCGGGGGGGGCGTACTCTTATGTTTTNTCTCTATTCCATGCCTCAAACATCTCCCTGTACGTCCCACCTATTTTTCCCAGCTCAGTTGCGTACACTTCCCTCTCCTTCTTGTACCACGGACATTCCGCGACTAANATATCCCTTCCCGCCTTTTCAACCCACCTCCTATACCCCAGTACAGCTACCGTCCATTCCTCTCAATTCCATGCCTCAAACATCTCCCTGTACGTCCCACCTATTTTTCCCAGCTCAGTTGCGTACACTTCCCTCTCCTTCTTGTACCACGGACATTCCGCGACTAAATGAACACGGTCCTCGCATCCGAAGCCGCAATCACATTTGAACTCGTTGTCTTCGTCGTCTACCGTCCTATGTTTTCGTCGACGTTCTCGAAGGCCTATGTCCCCGGTCCTGAATTTGACCTACGCTTTGTTCCTGCATCCATTGGTCCATGTAGGTAATCCTTGAGCCTTGTTCCTTCCTTCAACATTCCGTACACTTCTAGACCCTCCGTATCCTTGGTTTCTTTCCTTAGATTCTGTTCTTCTCTCTCTGCACAAGCAACAGATATCTTCTCCTTGAACCCCTTGAGACCCTCCGTTTCCAGCGTTTCATCTTCGTCGATGTCGAGCCCCTTCCATACGTCCTCTACAACCTTGACCCATTCCGTGGGTTGTCTNTGTCTACCCCTCTTTTTGTTTGCCCACTTCGCCTCCCATACAATTCTCGGCAACCTCTCCTCTCCCATCCCGCACATGCGATACTGCCATGTCAGCTTCCTCGCGTCTCTTCCCGACCGTAGGGATTGGATCCCCAATTCTGCCCTCACGGCTGCATTTCTTGTGCGCTTGGAGCATCCTAGGATCATTTTCGCTGCCTTCATCTGCACCGCCTCGAGTTCTTTCATCACCTTCTTATTTCCTTCCCATACTTCTCCGGCGTACTCTAGCGGCGGTACGATTACGCTCTTCAAAACCGTCAATTTGATGCGTGTATCGAGGTGCCGGTCTGCGAGTATTGGGTGCAGCTTTCCTGCTCGTGCTTTGCCCTTTTCCGAGACCTTGGACATGTGTGCATTCCACGAGCAGTCTTTTGCGATCTCTACTCCGTATGTGTACTGGTCCACTACTGCAATCTCCTCGATCCCCCACTTCCATCTATGTTCTACTGGTTCCTCCTTGTTTCGTTGCATACCATGACGGCACTCTTCGTAACGTTGGCAGACAATCTCCACTTATCAGTAAACTTCTTCGCCGCGTCAATTTGTAGTTGCAGTCCCCCAGAGGTGTCCTCGGGGGTGGGGTAATTCTCATTTCGACGCATGTCGTAGTTTGGTCACAGATTTCGCATCCCTACAATGCCAGTGGGGGGGGTAGAAGGTGCGGGCAAGGGAGAGTGAGGGTGGGGGGACGTGGAATCAGTCTGCCTGTTTTGGTTTTTGTGTATCGGTTCTCTTTCTGGAAGCCCCAAGAGCACCCTGACGGGTGGCGGTGGTAGCAGAGAAGGTCGGAGAGTTGCATCGGAACGGGGTGGATTCATGCAAATGAATGGGGTAGTGCGTAACCCTTATGACCACGACTCCTTGCCGTGCCGGGACGGAGCGATATTGCGGGTTTTCGCCGGCCCAGGCTACGTTTCACAAGGAGGAACCAGAAACTGGTCGTCATGCGATGATTGTGCAAAACCAGACATGTCATCTGGGGTCCTCCTCATACGTGCGGCACTCTCCGGTGGAGGTATCTATCGGTGGCCTCCCCCCCCCTTCACGTCAATGTCTATTTTCATACCTCTGAATCCGTTTTTCGCCTTTTCTGTTGTCGCAGGTCACGGCGATGCTCGGTCTTGCCGCATCTCCGGTCGGTAAGCGTGGCAAGGAAGCGACGCCGGGCGTCGCCACCGCCGCCGCGGGCGGCGCGAACAGGGGTAGCTCTCAGTCTGCCCGGAAAGAGGCGTTTCAGCAGTGGTGGGGAAAGGTGCTCAAGGCCCTCCGCAAGTGCTTCACTGCCCGAGCGTGAGTTATCACGTGCTGATTGTTGTGCTTTCGTGTATTGGTAGATTGTGTTTTTTCCACACTTGAGAAGGATCGGCTTGTAGGGGAAGCAACACCTTGCTGTCGCAGTGCGGTATTGCGAAGCTGCTGTTGTACCATTTGCAGCACTTTATCGTTTGAAGACTAGTACCACAGCGCTGTTGCTGTCGCACATTGCCACACGGCTTGCTGTTGTAGCACATGATCGCAACGATGATCGGTTACGGTGTCACCCTTCTCAGCCAGGATGGTGCTTGACCTTAGCGCCTTTCAACTTGTTCCCTTTCTGTCGGCGGAAGCATTCCGATAGTTTTGTTGTTTTGTTGTCCCTTGTCGTACAACAGGCACTCTCATGAAGCACACGAATGGCAGAAACTGGGTGCCACATGTGAGAGCAAAATATCGCATCATCATGTAACGCTGAACACAGCCTCCCTCACCTACCGCTTCAATTTTTTTCCGGCCTTGGTAACCACGCCCAGTTCCGGGAGCCGTAGTCATTACAGGTCTCCGGGGTCTACCCGCTGCGCGAGGTCTCCCGGGTCTACCCGCAGCGGTGGCATTCGCAGCCGCACAGCATCCGCGGCTTCCCGCTCGAGCAGCCTCGGCGGGGACGAGGAGCGTCTTCCGCTGATCATCGGAGGTGGAGCTGTCATGCCTAGCTCCCACGGCAGCCTTCCGACGACCACCGCCGCCAACACCCTCAGCAACAACAACCTGAGCAGCAGCGGCGGCAGCCTTGGGCGTTTGGGTGCCGGCAGTGGCCTCGGTGGGAGCGGCAACAGCGGCGGTAGGGCCATTTTCTCGAAGCCCGCCAAGACCGTGAGCTTCGCAGGGGACGACGACGACGCCGATGACGATGTCTCGGGCAGCAGCACCGGTCGCCCCGGTAGCCCCGTGCCGTCTCTCGGCCGAAACGGCATCGACGGCATCAACGGCGACAGCAGGGGCAGAGCCGCCTTGGAAGAGGTTAGCCCCGAGGGCTCCCCTCTCAGGGGCGGCAGCAGGCGGTCGCCGTTGTCCCGGCGAGGCACGAGCTACGGTGCAGCCGGCGCGGGGCCGAGGACTATCGGTGGCGCGGTAGCGGCCGTGGAGGCGGGAACGGTGACTGACGCGGGCGAGGTTTTGGGTGCTGGAGACAGCCGGGGGCAGGACGAAACGGCGGGGGGCGCCGCGACCGTGAGCGGGGGTACGGGGTCGCTGGCGGGGGGGGGGGGGGCGGAGGAGCCGGACTCGGCCGAGGAAGGCGAGCTGATAAGCTTTCTCGTGCTGGACTGCTCCAAGGTCACGAACGTGAGTCTCCGCGTCGATCTGTAACGGACAAGGGTGTCGAAGCACAGCGGAGTAGCACTGGCCAAGACGAGGCATTTCAAGTCTTTGATTTTCAGCAGCAAGTACTGTTGAAGGATACCATACGTACCAAGCGTCAGGGCTTGTTCCTACACGTTACCCATGCCCCAAGGAGCGAAGGTGCCCAGGCTGGTATTTTCGTTTCTCTGTCGACGCCTTTTACCCCTCTTTTCGTTGTTTGCCAATCAACGATCAGCGGTGGAAGCCAGGTGTACAGTGTCTACGAACTGCAACTACGCGCCCCCCCTTCGTCAACATGATAGCTCGAGCATACTGCTGCACGAAACGTTGGTCGCCATGCTTTTTACGTCCACCCTTTGGTTAGGCTTGCTAGCCACCCTTCTGCCACGATTGCCATGCCCGGTTCTCTCGCTCCTGGTCTTGCTTTCGTGAACCAGCAGCACCTTTCTCTCTGTTGGGTGTACTCCACGTCCGTTAACGGCATGATACTAACTCATCTCTCATGCCCAGGATGAACCCCCCCAGCCTACCCCCTTTCCAGATCGATGCAAGCGCTGCTCGCACGTGCTTCTTGCCGCTTCAGCGTCTCGCTGAGGCGAATGGGGTTTGCATAGCCTACGCAGGCCTGACGGAGAGGATGGAGACCCTCCTCAGGTAAAACAATCCTTTTGGGCGGTAGCGGCCAAAGTTTGTGTTCTTGCGAACATGTTTCCGGAACTTGTTGTCGCATGTGCTGCACGGCGTGAATGCTGCGCGGGCGTGTGGGAGTTTGGCTATGACATCAGTTGTGGCGGCGGCGGCACGCACCGCATCAGCACCAAGAGAAGAAAAGTGCCCACGGTACCAGGGAGTATTTGACTTCACACGTCATGTCGCGTCGCCGGCGACAATTTCCGATAAATACTGCTGCATAGAGGATGTTTTTTTGTTGCAGAATTGGCGGAGATCGTTGCTGGGATGTTTCTCTCGCGAAGAAGCAGAGCAGGTGATACCAGAGTGCGGGAAGGCAGTTTTCTCACGCAGAGACGCAAACTGTGGTCAAGGGAAAGACCGGCGACAGTCACGACGTTGACAGGCAGCAGTGGTGCTAAATCGTTGGTTCTAAGCTTGTTGAAAGTCGCTGTCGTTGGTGTCGCCCTTGTTGTTCCTGCTCTTGTTGCTGTGCTGGTGGGGGCGGGGTGCATGTACTGATGCGAAGGCCTTGCAACTATTTTTCCTGTTCTTAGAGGGCCTTACACGCAGAAAACGTTCATGCTGGTGTGCGATGGTTGTTTTTCCTCCTGCTGTATCTAATGTCCCCATGCCCCGCTCTTTCTCTCTCGTGGTCGCTGCCGCCGGCAGCATTCACAAGGCCATCGGGCTCGAGAATGTCGCCGTCTTCAAGACGTTCTTCACGGCTGTAGACTGGTGCGAGACCCAGCTGATCCGGTCTCTTGATGCCTACGAGGAGGACGGGAATGCCAGCTTCTGGGCTACGAGCCACTTCTCCAGACGCGAAAGCTTCAAGTACGTGCTGCTGGTGGTTGCTGCTGGTGTGATGCCCATACTTCCGTCGAGAAAGCATTTATGGGCATGATGGTGGTTGTTGCTCTTGTTATGCCACTTCTTTCGTTGAGAGGCTTGTGTATGCTAAGGATTAGTTGTTTTTGAAGCTGTTCTTGTGATGCTTGCTTCGCAACAGCTCCCAGCCTCTTTTGGACTTGCCCCAACGTCGTGCCAGAAGTGACCGTCCGGATATTTGCCCGTAACAGGTTAGGGTAGAGCCCGCCCTCACTAGAAACGTGTAACACACCTCTCAAATGTGCGGTACAGGCGTCCAATTTGCTCAAGTTATCGGACAGGCTTCGCGCCAGCTTGGTCCTTCCTACTTCCGAAAACGACAGTAATCGTTTGTCCTGCCCCCGCCCGACGTTGGCTAACCAAGAGATAAATATCTCGCGACTGATGATGGCTTTCCTTGTGCTTGAATTCCGCTTGGTTGGTGACTGCCGCTATTGAACATCATTGCCAGGAGTACGGCGGTTAACATCAAGCACCTCTTGAGGCAGGTCTTGGAGCTGCCGGAGTCTGCTTCGGCTGTCGACGGGATCGAGAGGTAGGCTGGGTTCTTCCGTTCTTGCCCCTTGCGTGGCTGACGAAGGAATACAAGTGTTGCGGATAGGTCGCATATGGGTGTAGCTGACAAATATATTGAAAGCAACTGTAAAGGGCCCGAGTTTGGTTTGTCTACGATGGCGAATGGGCTCGTCGAGATGTGACCTGGCCTGGATCGTGCTTGCGTCTCGGCTTGGTTGCTTTCGCAGTGGGGGCACGAAAATACCGGACCCAGCTTATTACAGCTAGTCATGAGTGCCATCGTCCGGACAACCATCACCAAAGAATCCACTCGAAGGAGGCACGCATGTAGTAGCATGTATTGATGACTATTTGTAAGTGACGGTGCCCGGTGCGTACGATGTGCGCGCTTCTTAAAATAATCCTACGTTTCCCCGGCGGAGAATCACCAGGAATCCACTATTGTTCAGCGCAACGTGGCCGTGTGCCGGAGTGAAGAATGGAATTGATCATTGACTGGCGAGGCCTTTCGTGTTCTTGCTTGTTGGAGTGGAGATGTATCTCGTCATATGCCCCTGGCACGAAGCGCTGATATTCTATCGCTACAAACGAGTTCGTGCTTTTCTTAACAGTTTCTTTTCTTCTATTTTCTCGCTGCGAGATTGAAAGTTCTCGACTTCTCGTTCATTGTGCAGTGTCTGTTCGCCAATCGTGTTCTGCTTCGTGCTATTCATGGCCCACGTCCCGTTTCCAGCGTACTGCAGGCGTCCTGGGAGCTTGTCAACGTCGTTTTTGCATATAAGCCTTCCTGTGATCTCTCACATGCACACGTCTCAATGCCGCCATCGCAAGGTATTGCTCAGAGGAGGAATACCATGCCGGAGAGTTGATATTCTCGCCCGGAGATGAAGCTGACAGCTTTTATGTGGTCACGGATGGACAGGTAATCGTTGACGTAGGCCGTCAACCTCGCCCTGCTCCTACGTAGTTTTTTCTCACGCATGAGTTGATCCTGCCACTGACGCTTCTCCTATCCCAGCCAACGTCATCGGTGATGGAAACTTGGCCTGTCGGGGACGGAACCGTCTGCCCCAGCCTGTCTGCCGTACATTCCCGTGATAGTCTCCTTTTGCCGGAGGTAGCAGCCCGACCGTAGCCCGGATCCTTGCTCAACATCCTGGGCTAGTCTATACCGCATATCCTAACGCGAACTGTGTGCCATCACCACTGAGAGTTGGGCGACTAGAACCGTCCAAGGTTGTGCAACGTATCCTCTCTGACGACTGTTTGACCCTGGACACTTCACAGCCAGAGACCGGAGCAGTACAAGGGCGAATCAGCACCTTCGTGTCTCATACCCCCTCTAGACGCACGTCCGAATGTACTTGGGCGCTCCTCCTCTCCTCCCCTACCGTTCCCAGTCACCCGTGGCTTGCTCCGTAGTGATCTTGGGCAAAGGCTAGACCAAATTCCACCGCAGCATATTCGGTCGCCCCGGTGGTCTAGTTGGTAACCTCGAAACCTTCTAGAGGTAAGGTCAGGGGTTCGAATTCCGGCGTAAGCGAGCTTTTCTTGCAAAGTGAGTTTTTCTCTCGCTTCCGCTCCTGGCCTAGTGGATAGCGCTAGTTCGTGTGTACACAGAGGGAAGAGAGTGCTGAACTCTTCTCGCATTAAAAATCGAAGGCAAAGTACCGCAGGAGGGGAGGGTAGAGAGGGGCTCTTTTGTGTGACCACGGGTTGGAGTAAACGGCACCATTGCTGTGAGCGCTGATTAGAAGTGAAGACAAAAAGACAAACAAAAAATTCAGCATCATGCTCGCGTACCGCCACTGACGTTCCATGGATGAAACAATTGTTGACGCGACACCCCCGCGCAAGACTATTCGTCATTCGCGCAATTTGCGGCTCTCGCTTGTCCCATCCAGGTGATGGTGGAGAAGTCTCCCGACGGGTCTTCAAGGCCGCAGGAGCTACGCGGACGGGAGGACAGAACAAGAGCAAACAGCGCCGCAAGGGCGGGGGGACAGGTGAGATAGTGCGTCATGGTATTGGCGGCGTCCAACGGAAATCTTTTTAGAAATAGGCGGTAGAGTTTGATGTATGTCGCGTGGCCGCTCTTGTGTTCGCTTGATCGTCTTTTGCCCTAGTGTCTAGACGGACAGGTTAATAGGAAGAATAGCGGTTGAACCCGGGAGCTGTTGTCTTGTCGTGCGAATGTCCGACGACAGTTGGTGGACACGTTGATAACGTTGGTATAGTTCTCAATGCTTTAGACATGGCCTATTGGGGGCTAGGGCTATGGCGAAGGCTTGCCTTGAGGGAGGCAGGTATGTCGATCGTTATGTGTCTGTTGTGATGCTCTCGATGGGCCATCAGTCAGGAGGTGGGAGACTGCCCTCGCCGGCAGGATCGCTGGTACATTTTTCATCACCCCGATGATGAAATTTATAGCTTGTCCAGTCATGTCGGCACCGAACACTATTTTCCCTCTTCCGTATGCTGCACCCCGCGTATTTCGCTTTCACACGTCGCTTGTATTCCGAAGACCTTGACTGCAGGTCCCCAAGGGTTGATTTAGGTTCACAGAGATTGAAAGAACTTGGGGGCGTCATGCTATCCTAAGAACTGGCCGACCCCCGTTCTCGCTGTGATTCATGTAGCTGAAAAATAGCCATCTTTTTAGCACTCCGATGTGACCAGTGATATTTGCTGCTGGGGTGTGTGAGCGAGAGTCGTGACGAGGTGTAGTTGCTTCTGTTGAGCCCGTCGATGTGACCTGATTATATCCTGCACCAATCGTACTTCCGTCTACAACAATCAGCGGTATCTGTCCTGCGTGTGTTTGGCCAGGTCCTTTTCAACGTCGGCGCTATTTTCGGCTACGTGGACTACCAGCTCGAAGAGCGACGGGCCCATTCGGCGATAGCCGTGACGGACGCTGTCGTCACGGTGTTCCCAAGAGCTCACCTTGACAGGTACTTGTCACGCTTGATGCATCACGCCCGCGTACAGAACCCTTACCGTCGTGGTCCCGGTTCAGCGGTCCATAGTGTCGCGAGATAACGCGTACAGAACCCTTACCGTCGTGGTCCCGGTTCAGCGGTCCATAGTGTCGCGAGATAACGCGTACAGAACCCTTACCGTCGTGGTCCCGGTTCAGCGGTCCATAGTGTCGCGAGATAACGCGTACAGAACCCTTACCGTCGTGGTCCCGGTTCAGCGGTCCATAGTGTCGCGAGATAACATAACCCCTATTCAGGGCGACGCCGCTAAACCGTTTTTGCAGTGATGTTGTAGTTTTGAGCACCGAGGTGCAACCGTGCCGCGAGATTTTGTATCGACTATTCAGGGCATCCCACTAAAACTGCACCGTACTGCACCGTACTGCACCGTACCCCTCTGGTTCGTACCGCCTTGTGTACTTTTTGTCGAGGTCATCTTTCATCAAATATGCCAGAGGTATCATCGCAGCGACTGTAAGGGGTGCTGTCGTTTCAACCGTGTGACACTGCGGCCTAGATGTGTCTGGGGATTTCTTCCCACCTTTGGTCGTCGCTCCACAACCAACAGATTCATAGAGAGGGATGCCAAACATTTCTTGACTGCACGAGGTTTGGCTCTACGTGTGCTCCTCTTGCAGGTCGTGGTGATTTGGGTTTTTCGGTCAATGCGTTAGGATCGCTGCTGCGCTTTTTGGATACAACCTGCTCGCATTGTCGTACTGCTGTACATTGACCCTTGTGGAGGGAGGTTTAGACAGTTAGACACAAGTAGTAGTGTCCTGCCCGGGTAGTGCTACCTACGGAGCGAGTATGATGTAGGCACGGCCATGCCCAGGGCCTGCTTCAGTGTTCTTTTTCTACACGTCTGGACGGACGAGGTACGCCGAAGAAAAGCGAATCTCTCATTAAACCGTCACTCGCCAGCAGGGGTGCCTTTCTGATGATGTGTCGGTCCGACCTAGAGGCATTTAGGAGGCCAACCGAAGGGATATGGCAGAGGACAATGCGAACATATCGCCAACCAGATTGCTGTTGGCAACCAGACTGTCTGGTTCGACATATTGTGCGGAGTGTTGCATACCAGACTTGGCTGTGGTGACCTCTTGTCCCACACGTCTCTGCTCCCCAACAGGGAGTTTTTCGGGGGCGTCGAAAGCACGTCTTATACCTTCTCTTGCTCTCTTGTTTCCCCCCACCCCCTTGCTAATCTTTTCAAGGATGATGGAAGAGAATCCGCGACTGCTTTGCCTCTTGGAGAGGAGCGTCATGAAGCACCTAGCGCTAGAGCTCAGCAATCTACCGGTCTAGCCCAACTCAGCGTCACCCGGCTCTTTGCCTAAGCTTTCTTTTTGTTTGGTATAGGCCATCTAGCTCTAGGATGGTGGCAAACCGGTGTATCAAGGAACATGTTGCTCCCATTACTCGTGATGTCTGTGTCCTGAAACTGTTCCGTGGACCATTGATATAGACGATGCGTAAAGCGTCCTGTTCAACATATGGTACGGACATTCTGCGAAGGATTGATGTCTGGGAAGGACGGGAAATTGAAAACCCAAGGAATTTGGTCAAAATGGATTCATTCGAGAGTGGTTTATCGTGACACATGCAGGTCTCTGTGGTTCCAGTATGGGACGGTCCGTGGAAATAGTTAGGTAAGTTGCATTTCTCTGTGGTTTTAATATAAGATGGGGTCCGTGGCAATAGTCCGGTTAGGAAGTTTTCTGATAAGTGCGAGCGCACTTAGAGAAAGGAGCGTTTCGTGTCTGTGAACACTGTCAACGAGTACACAAGAGCTATCGTTGAGGTGGCTTGGGTTGTGGTCCAGTTGGTATTGCGCCAAGTAGAACCATCCACCGCCATCTCCCTGCACCCGATTGAAGAACGAAGTGTGGTATTTGTCAGTTGACCTTGGTTTTCTTCTTCGGTACATAAGAACAACGTTGTTCTGGCCGCAATATTTCGATGCCGCCTTCGCGCTGTGCCGATCGCGCTGTTGGGTTGGGTGATGAGCAGGCTCGTATCTGGGCCTGAAGGACATAGCAGTTTCTCGGGATTGATTATCTGTTTTCTTCCGGGGGGTGTCAAATGGGCAAGAACGCGTTGTTTCAATGCACGATTTGGGGGGCCAACATCGCACGTGAGGAGCACAGAGCTGATGCTATCGCTCACAAGCTCTAGTATCCATTCCCCCTCGTGCTCTATTGGCTGGTGGAACTCATCATCCATATTATCCGTGCCCTTCACCAGCTTCACCCGCCGAACGTGCGGACTCCAGACAAGGACGGCGCGCATCTTTCATTGATCTCGGCGCGGTTCCTTGCTCACAGCTGCAGTCCCAATGCATGCGCAGTGTAGTGTTGTTGTAAACGCCGAAACGTCCAAACTGGATCGTACATTCTTTTGAGGAGGAATAACCAAATACGGCCGATTAGGGATGTGGTCACGACTACCACACGACGAAGCAGACAGAGGGAGGTTTCAACGAAATTTGAATGAACAGCAGACTACAGAGGAATTCATTAATCATTGCTTGTTCGTGTAAAATATGGTGGTGGAGTGAGAGAGAGTCAGAGAGAGGTCACCGAGCGAGAGAGAGAGAGAGAGAGAGAGAGAGAGAGAGACGATACGAGAGTACCAGCATGATTTCGACGGACGGTTGCAATATCGGAAATATTGCTGTTGGTGTTGCCCGTTGCCCGGTGTATACTAGCTATTGCGCGTGGTTGTGAAAATGGTCGTGAAGCCCCGCTAATCCTAATCCTATCCCTAACCCTAACCCTACTGCTGTCCCGCTGCCGGCGGCTCGTGTCCCGTGTCCCGTGTCCCGTGTCCCGTGTCCCGATTTGTTTTGGTTCGCACATTGGTTCGCCGTTTGGTTCCCCCGAAAACCTACAAATTGCGGCGAAAATACACTCTTCGTGTGAGGGAATGGGGAATGGTGTATTGCATGTACGCGCTCCCGTCCAAGTTGCATGGGGACGAAAAACCTTACGTCTTGCACTGTAAGGCGGAGCCGTTGAAGATCAGAGTGCACAGGAGGTCATCTCACCTGGAGGTCGCTAAATTCCCATCGACGCAACGGTCTGCAGATCAGTGTTGAGTGCTGGAGTTTGTTGACGTCTGCCGCTGTAGTCCACCAGTATTACGCTGCTGTTGGTGCTTCTGTAAAGCAGTGCAGCACGATACCAAGTCGAAATCGACGGGGTGGCGGAAGCTCATATGACACCTTTGGAAGTTTGATGTGTTTGGATAACGTGTTGAGGTGTGCAGTGGAAACGTGGCAAGGGTTGTGGTAGCTTTGGATTCTGTGGGTTCTGTTGCTGGCTGCCATGAGCAGTGATCACGGGGAACTCGCGCTGACCCTGACCAGACATACGCACTGGGGTGGGAAGTGCACCTCTGTTTCTGTCCATGGTGCAGCCCGGGCACAACATACGCCGAGCTGTAGGATGCTGATGATGACACTTTCGACCTCTCGTGGTCTTCCTGTGATGCATGCGTGCCTAGAATCCGGCGCGGGAGAATACAGCCTACCGTACCCCCCCCTCAAGATAACACCCCCCGCCCCACAGCGGTACCACACCCGGAGGAAGCAAACGCATACTACATGAGGGAAAAAATGAGCCCTAGACATACGCACACTAGATTGCGAGATGGAATAAGAGCTTTTATAGTTGAAAGAAGTACCTGCAGTAGACAATAGTGAGTTTTGAGCTGCGGATGGCGACGGCAATTCACAGAGGGGTTTGGTTCAACAGCTGAAAAGCAATAAAAAATACTGTTTCCCTACAGGTACACCTCCCCAAGCCCTCAGACCTTGTTCGCGTTGACCAGAAGTGTACACGTGTGTAATTAGTGACGAGACTACTAGGAAGTCACATATCGCACACTACGGACCTTCGCACACAACTGTTGAGAGGTACACAGCAGTCTTATTGCATCAATGGCGTCAAGGGGTGTATGTGTTGTGCCTCGCTATCTCACTTGTCTCTCTCTCTGCTGAGCACTTTCGCAACATAATTATACATACCCTGCACACAGCCAACCAACCAACATCACATACGAAGCCGACAATTAGCGAGCGTCTCTCATCTACTGCAGCAGTATATCCTGAGCCAGCTGTCTGTCAGTGTATACGGATCGGATGTTGCCGGTTGCTCGCCGCGCGTTGCCTGTCTTCTCGGGCGAAAACGCAACAGCTTGTAGGCCATACCCTCCCGTCTCTCTCCCCCTGGTGTATGTTTCCTTTCCCTCTCGTCCATGTCTGTCTCTGCCTCTGTCTTGTGCATATTCCTACCAGCAGCAGCAGTAGCAGCAGCGGCAGCGGCAGCAGCAGCAGCAGCAGCAGCAGCAGCAGCAGCAGCAGCGAACCTAGTTCCAATTATATGACGCCTCCCTCTCATTTGGGGGGGGGGGGGGCTTGCTCCCC